CTGAGCCCCCCCCAAAAAGGAGAAAAAAAAAGAAAGAAAAAGGCACATATCACTTCCTTTTTCAGAAACATGGCCTGGAAACTGATTCTTTTTCTTCAACACTGGTCATAGGACAGCATTTTCCACAGCACCTGAAGGCAGGAGAGCACAGGGGCAGGATTCAGGCCACACGGCTCTATCCTCATCATGTTGTTGCAGCCTCTCTCCGGACCGGCTGCCTGACGTAATGGCTAAATTCTGTCCAGTGGTGTGGCTGGCCCTATTTGCTAGTACTCAACACTGTTTTCCTCCATTTTCTATCTCCAATTGGATAATAAAACACTCATACATAAATTTAAAAGCAGCTTAGAACAACCAGGTCTTTCATGACCCATTAAAAATATGTTTAAATCTACCATCTCTCTCTTTGCACCTCGCCATGTTGCTCTCAATAAAACGGCAAAAAAGTAAATATCTTCTGTGACATTCAGTGTAACCATATGCTATATGCCACTCTAAACTGATTGGATAAACATTGGAAAGAGGTCCTTTAAAGAAATCTCCCTAGAGAAGGCAATTTGGGCCTGAAAAACCACCAATGGAAGCGATTTTGACTAAGCCCCACAACAAATAGACTGAACCTATAACAAAGTCTTAATTCCTTAAACATTGTGGCGAGTGGTGAGTGTTCCTTGAAATGATCTGACTGAAGGCAAAAAATAGGTAAGATCATTTTCATGCTTCAGTTTAGGCAAGGCAGACCTTTACTTGTGATTGGTGGGGTAGAGGGCATGGAAACCAGTGGTGGGTGGAGCCAAGGACAAAAGGACACCCAGAGATGGACAATCTCTAGATACCATCTAGATGTATTGGCTTATAACTGCTGTGTTGGACTGCATTTGCAGGATTATGGAATTTCTGGAGATGACCAAGTTGGAAAAAAAAATGGGCAAAAATGTCAAAATAATTGGATATGGTGAACCTGAAACACATTTCTTGAGATAAGATTGAATCTTCTTTGCCAGCCAGATGCTTAATTATAGTCTAATTAGTGAAAGGGAAGCAGTTCATGCTGATTTATCACACCATTATCTTTCACAGCTTAACTCAATCCAATCAAATAATAAGCAACACGCCACTTCTGCTCCTCAGCATCATGTTGCACACATGCGTATGTGCACAAATACACAGAGATACTTTTCAGTCCCCAGGGGTTATATTAGTTGGGGCCAAAAAGTGGCAAAAATGCAATCAATTTTCCTCTTTAAAAACAAACAAACAAGTGTACTTGGTAGCTGGTTGAAACCTGGGGAAAATTTTTACAGCTAGGGATGTGCAATGTCTTTGGACAAACATGTTAATTAATACAGAGTGAATCAGGGTTATTTGTATGTTCTTGAGGCAACCACAGGGCACAGTAAAGAGCCCAAGGGCACTCACATGTCAGAGTGGCAACGTGAGAATTCCCTTATGTTAATTCTGGCACTCATAAGCTTAATAATGTAAAAATAAAAAATAGGTCAAGTGATTACAAATTGTGGAAAGGGAAACCAAAGTACTGTACTAGTACATTATAAGGAAGGCGTGGAGCTAGTACCAAATGAGGAGACTGATGGCTTCACCTTCCAATGAAATCCAAGGACTATCCTGCACACTCCAGTCACTAAGGAGGTCTCTGGGCTGTAATATTCCACATCTACATAATTTTTAAAAACATCTGCAACACAAAGTGATGGGCTTTCCCCAAAAGAGCATACTACCTGGGCTTTGCATTCTCACATCCCCCTCCCCCTTCTTTGTGAAATCCAAATTTGATACGCTACTAGGACTATGTAGGATGTGTGTGCAGACAAAGTACCTGTGTTCCAGCATGGATTCTGAGTCATTTATGTTTGGACACTAGGATCTCCATGACTCTAGGTCCTCTTTTCTTGTTGGCATGGTGGTGTCATTGCCAAAATGCTTGATAGCTGCCTCTTGCTTTTCTTTTTCTTGTATTCTCCGGCCTTAAGATTGGCAAATAATTGTACCAGAAACAATTCTGATGGTGTTGTGTAACCCATACCCAAGCCACAGCTGTTTGCAGGAATGAGATTTTCCCTGGATTTCTGGGAACATACAAATACTGGCCCAAACCTGGACAGGAATCAGATCAGAATGTTTCCAAATGGACATAAGGTAGATCAAGAAGCAACTTGTAAGCCCTTACTTGGACATGGAATGGGTCAGGCAGCCAATGCTGATAGTTCTCTAAGTGGCAATGTCATAAAATACCTACCTTTCTTATATAATTCTGAGTGAATTCTTCAATATAATGTGCCTCTGGGGTATTCAAATGTCCTGTTTGCCTGCATCAGTGTCAAATCTATAGTCTGTTTTTTTTTAACTGATGAGGGAAGATACTTGCTGATTTTATAATTTGTATACTTCTGTTTAATTACTTATGCTTTTTAAAATATAAATTTATGTATTCTATCTTGGGATTGCCTTTGCTAAACGATAAATTGTTCCTGGAATTAAAGCAACATTTATTGAAGAATTTTTAAAAATCTAAATCCCCTTCCACAATCACCCATATGAAGTCTGTGTTGCTTTAAGTGGAAGCCAAAATTAACTCCAAAAGTAGGCAGGAATCTTTGATACTCTCTTGGTAGATGTAGTTCAGTGGTTGTGGAATCAGAAGTTGAGAGTTCGATTTCTCACTGTGCCTCCTTGCCATGGGCAAGCTGCACAGCCAGGTTTCCCCCAAGAAAGGAATGGTAAATCACTTCTGAGTACTCCCTACCTTAAAAACAACAACAAAACCCTGAAAAGGATCCCCGAAACTCAGTACAGTATTGACGTCCCAGCACGTAATGATGATGTTGCCACCTAGTGGGCAAAATTAGCAATGAAGAATCAGATGATACTGATAAATGGTTCCCAACCTCTTTTGAGTCACTTTTATAATAGCCAAGTAACTTGAGAAATCACCACCCCACCATGTTTGCATAAAAAGCATTTTAATGGGGTAAAGTTATCCCTTCTCAGATAGCAGAGACTTCCTTCTCCCCCAAAGGGTCTTTTTCTCATATATATGTATATGCAGTGGTGGGATTCAAATAAATTAACAACAGGTTCTATGTCCTAATGATAAATAAATAAATAAATAAATAATATTCGGCGAACTATTATCAGATTTAGGAAATGGTTCTATGGAACCGGTGCGAACCTGCTGAATTCCACCTCTGTGTATATGTATATGTATATATATGTATGTATATGTACAGTATATGTGTGCGTGTGTGCGCGCGCTAACTTTAATAACTGGCTTCAAAAGGTCAAGGAAATTATTTAATAAGTGCTACAACACAGACAAGGCAGCTCATGACAACCCCACTCCCCAGAAAACGCAACCTCCAGGTTGGGAAACACTGCTATAGACAAAGTAGGCAATTATGACACTGTTCTTTGGTCTTCAGCTCTTGTCAGTCCTAGCCAGGATAGCCAATGGTGAGGGATTTTAGGAGTAGCAATCCTATAACATCTAGAAAGCCCCAATTGTCCACAGACAGCATTAGTTGGGCTGGGAAAGTCAGTTATAGAGAATACAGCGGGACTCATCTCCAAGGAAATCCCCCCTGAAGGATCAGGTTCGCATCCCGAGGGTACTCTTAGACCCAGGTTTCTCTATGGAGGTGCAAGCATCTGCTGTGGTCAAGACTACCTTGTACTGTATCAACTTTGATTACCCAGCTGCTCCCATACATGGAGAAGAAATGTCTAACAATGATTCATGTAATCTGTAAAATCCCTAAAATAGACTGCTGTAATGCTCTCTATGTAGGGCTGCCCTTGGAAGTTAGTACAGAAATTTCAGTAGGTCCTAAATTTGCAGCCAGACTGCTCACATATCTGGTACCTGCCGATATGATCACACAAATATGAGTCTTGACACACCTTCATTAGCTTCCTGTTCCTTTCCATGCCCAAGGCAAGGTGCTGGTCATGACCTATAAGGCCCTTCAGAGTTTAGGACCCTGATGTTTGTTGGAATCTCTTTCTCACAAAACAGCTACCTGTCTCACCTGCCCCTCACAATCCATGATGTTAAAAATTGTAACACCCTAAGGAAGCCAAAAGAGTTAACACCAGGAACCCTGCTTTCTCAGTTGTAGCCCCTTCCCTTTGGAACAAGTTTCCAACAGAGGTTTGTCAGCTGCCTTCCCTGTTTTTCAAAAGTTAGTAAAATCAAAATTACAGCATTTAGTCATCTTTTATTGTATTCTCAAAGGTCCCCTTCCCTTTGGAACAAGTTTCCAACAGGGGTTTGTCAGCTGCCTTCCCTGTTTTTCATAAGTTAGTAAAACCAAAATGACAGCATTTAGTCATCTTTTATTGTACAGTTATTCTCAAAGGTTTTCACGTCCGGGATTCGATGGTTGTTGTAGGTTTTTCCAGTCTCTGTGGCCGGCATCTTCAGAGGACAGGAGTTAGAACTTTTGTCTGTATTCATCTTTTATTAGTTCTTTTACTTCCTGGTTTGGTTTGTTTAATTAGCATTGTATTTGTATCATTTTTATATGTATTTCAGCGTGTTGTGAACCGCCCAGAAAGCTCTTGCACTGTGGGGCCATATGCAAGTTGCTATCCTCCCCCCAAAAGTCAAAACGAAGCTAGAAGTTCGTGTACAGTAATTTCAAACTCGGATCCTCCCATTAAAAAGTGGGAAACAAGGAAGCAATATTTATCTCCATTGCGCCGTGCGCATTTTCCTCGCGTACATTAAAAACTGTATTGATTTCTTCTCTCTTTTTTCTTTATGGGCGTGAAATGCTTCTTTCTTGGGGAGGAAAAAGAGGTGAGATATACTCTCAGCGGACCCCTGCACATTTAGTCAGAAGTACGGTAAGTAGAACTCTGCGGAGAGAGTCTTAATCGGGGAAAAGAGGGCGCCCACGACCGCAGCCCCATCCTCCATTAGAATAGCTCTATGGTCAAAATTTCGACCCGGAAACCGGAAGCTGCTCCCCTCTTAATCTCTGGTCGCGAGCTCCGCCTCCCGGGTCAGCCGGTCAGCTGAGCGCTGCAGTCCGGAGGCGGTGGGTCGCGGGGCGCCTCGTTTCCCGGAGCGCGACACAGCCGGCGAGTGGGCTCCGAGGGGCTTTGCCGGGTCGGTCGGGGTGGGGCGCCCGCTTGCTGTCACCGCAGCGGCCTCTCCATGGCTTCCATTTTGGACCAGTACGTGGACTCGCTATCGCACGCCGCTTCCTCGCAGCAGAACCGCGCCAGCCTGGGCATTCCGCATACGGGTAGGAGAGCGGGTTCGTTGCGGGAGGTCCTGGGCCATTGCAGCCGCCTCCTCCCGCCCCTCCGTCTTGCAGCCTTTGGGAAGCGGGCCTGTGCTCCATATTTCATTCAAAAGGCAATTGAGTTACAGTAGTATATATTTTTGTACTTAAATTCTTGGCTCCCCCCCAAGTATTTAAGGTTGGAAAGCACTCGCCTTATTCCTGACCCTCAGAGTCTGAGATTGCAGTCCAAGACACATTTAGCTAGAGTTAAGTCCGGTCGGGCCCATCAGGACTCATTGGGTTGCTCTGCTATTCTCGGAGATCTGGACAATGTTTCAATCAGCATTTCTTTCTGAACTGCTATCTGGATCAGCTAGACTAGAGAACTGGTAAAAACTGATTGTAAACAAACCTCATTGTATTCCATAACAACAACAAAAAATTCAATCTTGTAAATTAAAATTTCTGAAGAGACCCAGATTTTTCAGATCTTAATTTGTTTTTTATTATGTCTTACTGGGATAAAAAGATAGGTTGGATGTGAGATCATGAGTTTACTTCAAGTCCAAAAATGCATTCCTTAGTTCTGATTTTAATGAATACCAATAAATACGAGGTCTTTCAGTTTTAACAAAGATGTAAAGCACAGCATTTTTATTGACAGAGGAAGTAATGATTGAGGAAGTTCTTCCTCCTCCTCCATTTTCTTTATGCTGGCAGATCTTTAACTACCACATTCTTTCAAGCAGTACTAGGGAAAAATGAAGAGCAGAAATCTGTACAGCATACAGGACCTGAGGTCCAGGCTCAGGGGTATCTATGTATATTTGGACAGCTCCATCAGCTGCATACAGTGTGATAATACATATTTTAGATTTGTCAAGTCCTTTCTTTCAAATAAAAGTGCATTCTGTTGGCATTTCACTTTTAAAAATACTTTGCAACTGCATTGTACTGTATGGCATATCCTTTCAACTTCTCTCCTTCAGTCAGATATATTTTCTTTTCAGAAGGCATAAATATATCACTGACTTTTTCACTTCTGCAGAATTCAAGCTAAACTTAACCAGACTTCTTGAAATGTCAAAGAGACATACATGACATGTTTCTCTGCGTAGGAACTTTGGAAGCTGCCTTTTACGGACTCAGACTTTTAATCTAGTATTGTTTCCAGGTATTAAATCTGGGACCTTTATACAAAGCAGGTGTTCTGCCACTGGGTTCTGCTTACCCTGTATTAAGCACTTTTTGAAGCTTGTTTGGGTATAGTGTGTGGCCCATCAGAAGGTCCAGCAAAGATTTTAGTTTTTGGAAGAGCTTTTTTTGGCTCAAGACATCTCTTCCCCAGTAGATACGGGTACATCCATTTCGCCAGTGTCTATACCAAACTAACAGTGCACTATCCTGAGTAAGTAGCCCTTGGTTTTGTCTGTTGGGAACAACCAGGACTGAGTTGTGCTCTTTTTTTAATTATTATTATTCTCTTGCAAGGTTAGCCCAGTGCCTTCCTGTGTTCGCTCACAACTGCTGTTCTAAAATCAGGATTAACAGCATTTCATTGAGACTATTTATTTATGTATATGCTTTTAAAATCTTGCCCTTACTGAGGTAGTAGGGTTCTCAGATTGGTTAACAGCAAATATCGTAGAAACAATGTTGCAATAGTGAAATAGAATTCAGAACTGAAAAATAGCAGTTGTAAAATGAAGAATTCAGCAGTTGTAAAATAATGGGGCAGAAGTCATTACCATCACAAAATCTTCTGAAAAGGCTCAAAGAGGTGGATCAACGTGGAAGATGAATTTCCAAGATTTCCTGCTACTGGGGAAGAGGCTGGACCCTGTGTTCTTCCTTTCTCCATGTAACATAATGATGGGACAGGTGGCAGGGAATCTCCTACTGATGGCAACATGCAGGCAAGTCTGTGTGGGAGAAGATAGTTATGCGTGTGCTAAAAATCAGGTTCAAGGGGGTGCAGAAATAGTAACTGAGGCAAAAAACTATAAATGGATCCACAACTGTCCTGCTATACTCCCTAGGTGTGACATCTGAAAAATGAGCAGTGGCTTCCTTTGTATGTCTGATTTTGGAGATGCATAATATAGAAAATAACCCCCCTCCCCCGGGAAAACCCCATTTCTCTGAGTGGATATTTTGGCCATGACATTCCTATAAGCATCAAATTGTTAACTTGCAGTATGCCCTGCACTTTTATCTATGTAGCAAACTTCATTGAATTATTGCTTGCACATACTTAAATTTTCTTTCCATCACACATATTTATGAGTTTGTAGGGTTTTTAGTGCCTGTGCGTTTGCTAGCTAGAAGCAGTGTTGGTGATTTGTGAAAGGATGGAAGAACAGACCAAGATTTTTCTTCTTTTTCTTTGGTACATAGGACAGTTCAGTAACTGTAAGTGGTTGCATAATGCAGAGTGCTAGTGAATATCAACACATAAAACCCGTATAGTGTAGCATCAATTGGGGCAGAGCCATAGCTTAGTGGTAAGGCAGTTATTCTACCTGCAGAACATCCCAGGTTTAGGTCTTGGCTTCTTCAGTTATAGAAAGAAGAACTATTGAGGCCCTGAAGAGTAGCTGCCTGTCAGTGTAAGTGAAACTGGAGTAGGTATAGGAAAGAGTCCAACCTCATATAAGGGGTTTTTAATCTTTCCAATGAGCAGAGAGATGCTACTGAGAGAGTACAAGCAACAGTGGACTTCTTTTTTTTTTAAGCATTTAGAATTAATATGGAATTACTTAAGAAAAACTCCATGTATTAATAAAGTTTTAACAATCGTTTGCTTTGATGTTTGTGTTTTTTCAAACTAGCAGCTTCTTCTTTTCTTTTTTAAAAAAGGATATGTGAATGCTCGGTGGGAAAAGGAGACACCGATTTTTAACAAACAGAGGATTGATTTCACCCCTCCTGAGAAGATTAATAGCCTTGTAGTCTCCTCCAACCAATTGTGTATGAGCCTTGGAAAAGACATACTTTTTAGGTAATGCTTGTTATAATCCCATTATGGACACTTGGAATAGGTTTATAGGCTTAGAGTGTGGTGAACAGGCATATAACCATCCCAGGATATATTTTCTGATCCCTGATGCCTTGGTTTTCAAGGCCTGTTTTCAATATATGGCAATGGCATGGTGAACATCAGTATGTGATGGCGATGTTAAAAAACCAAAACACAATCAGTATAATTGGAAATATGCCTTTAAAATGGAGGAAGATACTTTTCCTTCGAATGCCTGATAGAATTTGTTGTGTCAGGTTTTAAACCAGACATTGATATACCTCACTTCACAAAACATATACAGTGTTGAATAAAGGCATGTTTTGACTCATTTAAATGAATCAAAACCTGCTCACAGCCTGTTGAATTTGCAAAGATAGAAAGAAAAGCCTGTGATATGCTCCTGGGAAGCTGTTCAAAATTTATGGTTCCTTACCTGTCTCCTGTCATAAAAAGAATGGATTTGTGCAAATGAGCTGCTTCATAACTGTAATACACAAACATGTGATCCTGCAGATAGCATCAGAAAGCAGTACTATTGGGCAGAAGTGTTTAAACATCTGTATTAACATATATTACATCTTATTGTAGAGATCTGCATTTTTAACACTTAAATCTCTTTACTTTAGAAGGTTTTCTCCCCCAACAGTGATTTGATCATACAAAACAAACTTATCACCTGAGTAAAGTTAATCATGATTGAGATTAAAAAAACACACCATTCACAATGTTCTGTCCCATACAAACTAGATGTTAACTTAGAATGTACCAGTTCTTGGCATTATGATAATTAAATATCTACAGCTACTTTGTTGAGACATATACATGCACAGTATGAAGGGAAAGTCATGTCAGTTTAAGAAGTTTTATATGAAGCAAGTTTATGCTGACTTCTCAGTCAGCAACATTTCTTTCTATCCATTCAGTTTCTTAATAACATTAAACAGTTTGCTTTCTCTCCTCTTTCATGTAGACTTGACTTGGCAAAAGCTGATGAGCCTAACCAGGTAGAGCTCGGACGAAAGGATGAGGCCAAAGTTTACAAGCTCTTTTTGGATCACACAGGTAAGATGAAAATATGGGGTGCAAAAATGCTATTTGATTGATCTGTTTAGTAAATGCTATAAATATCAACATAAATCCATTTTCCACTCCCATCTAGAGGATGGGATGGATCCTATAAATGGATCAATTGCTGAACGGCAAGTCAATGTTTATGTAAAGCCTGATGATTCAGTGGTTCTACTTGAGTTGAGACTACCAGTTGGACTCGGAACAATGAGTTTTTATTTATAAGTAGAGCATCCTTCCCTAGCTTTTTAAATTTATTAACAAGATATGTAGCTTTTTTTCTTTCCTTTTTTAGTTTTTGATAAACTGTACGTTCATATAAAATCTGATCATAGTCTGAAATATTTAATATTTGGCCTCCCCAGTTAGCATGTCAGTTCCCTCTGTGTTCTGTGTGTTTTGGTCAGTCTTCCTATGGAGAAATAAAGTATTCTTCCAGAGGTATTCTGAAGTTTTCAGTTCCTATAAGAGCACAGTAGTTATGTTCCAATAATTTTCCTGGGTGTCTGATTGCCCTTCTACAAACTGCTGTTTAACAGAATGTTTGCTGACTTTTCACAATAATTAGTATGTGAGTAAAGGTTTAATGTTGAAATATGTGTATTCTCAGTACTGTGCAGGTAACATATACACAGCTATCTTTGTAATGGCGATAAAGGTTGGCTGTGCTTGTTCACTTTTACAGCAAATGTTTATTGAGATCACATGAAGTCCAATTATAGCATTGTATATTAATCAGTGTATTAATTTAGATGAAAACTAAGATGTTTAATATTTATACAAGCTGCTTAAAAGTAAGTAGAAAGATCCACAGGGAAAAAAAATCAAGCCCCTTTTATACCTTTATTCCTTTCAAAACAAGTGGCTGATAAATGTATAATGATATTCTAGATTTCTGTTGATTTAATTAATCGTGTGTTCTTACTGGGCATTTATTTTCTTGTTAAAAAGAAAGTAGTCACATTGATGGAGGATGAGCTATCAGTGGCTATTAATCCTCATGGCTGTCTGTTACCTCCAGTACCAGAGGTATCACATGCTTCTCAAAACCAGATGATGGGGAGCAATGGTGGCAGAGGTCTATTGTACTTGTTTCCTGTTTGTGGGCTTCTTATAGACGCTTTATTGGCCCCTGTAGGAACACAATGCTGAACTAGATAAATCTTTGGTTTGATTTAGCAAGACGTATCTTGTTTGGGGAATATTTTGTTCTATTCTTATCTCAATTCATGACCTTCTGAAATCTTCCTCAAGCAACAGAGGCTGTGTCTTGGGAGAAGCATTTTTGGTCCTTGTCATGATTCTCAGTTAAGTGTTTTCATCTTAGTTACTGCATTTCTTTTTCCTTCCAGGTTCTCACCTTATCATTGCCCTGAATACCAATGAATGCCTGTATCTGAACCGAAGTGCTCAGAAGGTGCGGGTCCTATCCCGCTGGAAAGGTCATTTGATTGAAAGCATAGGGTGGAACAAGTTATTTGGTACAGAGGTTAACACAGGGCCCATTTTGGTTGGAACCTCCCAAGGCCACATATACGAGGCTGAGATTTCCATCAGTGAAGGCAGCCTCTTTGGCACTAGCCCTGACCAATATTTCCGTCTCATTTACAACCTCGAGGAGGAGGCAGGACCTGCCCCAGTCTGCTGTCTTGAGTTAGAGCGGGGCATTGATGGGAAGTGCTTCATCATTGCCACTACACGCAAGAGGCTATTTCAGTTTGTTGGCAAGATTCCAGAAGGATCAGAGCAGCAAACCTTTGGTGCAATCTTTAGCATGCCTGTAGATCACTTGCCTGGCTTCCGTGAGTTTCCAGCCAGCCTGGGCTACAGTGAAATAGCCTTCTACACCCCAAAACTCCGCTCTTCACCAAGTACATTTGCTTGGATGATGGGAAATGGTGTCTTGTATGGATCCCTGGACTATGGACGTCCGGACTCTGTGTTGAGTGATGAGCAGGTCTGGGAGTATCCTTCTGATGTAGATGCAGTTGCCAATAAGCCCATTTCTATAGTCCTCACCCAGTTCCATTTCCTGTTGCTGTTCCCTGACAGAGTGAAAGCCGTTTGCACTCTGAATGGACAGGTGGTCTTCCAAGATGTGTTCTTGGAAAAGTTTGGCTCGCTGAAGCGTATGATCAAAGATCCTACCTTTGGCCAAATCTGGATTCACACAGAAAAGGTGGTGTTTCGATATAATGTACAGCGAGAGTCCCGTGATGTATGGAAGATGTACATGAATATCAATAAGTTTGATCTGGCTAAAGAGTACTGCAGGGACCGTGCCGAGTGCCTTGACGTTGTGTTGGCAAAGGAAGCAGAATACTGCTTCCAGAACAGGAGATACATGGAAAGTGCAAAGTGTTATGCATTGACGCAAAATTATTTTGAGGAAATTGCCCTTAAGTTTATTGAAGCCCAGCAAGAAGAAGCACTGATGGAGTTTCTGATTAAGAAACTGGCTAGTTTTCAGCCCTCTGAAAAGACTCAGACTACCTTGCTGACCACCTGGCTAACGGAGCTCTACTTAAATCGGCTGGGTGTGTTGGAAGGCGATGCCTCCAAGAGGGATTTGTATGAGAAGACCAGGGACAATTTCCGCAGCTTCTTGGGCAGCCCCAGGAATGAAAAGTGCCTGTTCAACAACCGAGCCACTATTCACGAGCTCTTGGCCAGCCATGGGGACACTGAGCACATGGTGTACTTTGCAGTCATAATGCAAGACTATGAGCGGGTGATAGCCCATTACTGCCAACACGAAAATTTCAATGAAGCACTAGAAATCTTGTCCAAAATCAAGGATAATGATCTCTTTTACAAGTTTTCTCCCATTTTGATTCACCATATCCCCAAGAAAGTGGTGGATGCTTGGATTGAAATGGGCAAGAAACTGGATGCCAAGAAGCTCATCCCTGCCCTTGTTAACTACAGTCAGAGTGGGAGCACCCAGCAGGTCAACGAAGCCATTCGCTACATGGAGTTCTGCGTGACTGAGCTGGAGGAAACTCAGCAGGCAATTCACAATTATCTGTTGTCCCTCTATGCTTCGTGTCGCCCGGACTCACTGTTGTCGTACCTGGAACAAGCAGGAACCTATGCTGACAATATCCACTATGACCTGAAATACGCACTTAGGCTCTGTGCAGAACATGGACACCACCGTGCATGTGTCCATGTGTACAAAGTTATGGAAATGTATGAGGAAGCTGTGGGTCTTGCTTTACAGGTAGGTGTACCATTGTTTGAACAATAATTTACATTGCTAAAGGTTTACAAGCTCTTTCAGACCTGAAAGGACAGAGAGACAGGTGATGGTAGAAGGCAAAGTTGTTTCCTTCCCTGATGTTGTTTCCTTCCCTGTTTACCCTCTCCTTCACACAACCATATATAAATGCAGTTGCTGCCTTTTCATGTTTTTCAGGAGGTTAGAGGGAGGTTAGAGGGAATTACTTCTCCCACCAAGTTCTACCCGGGTCACACGGGCGAGCCAGGAGGTGAGGCTGAGGAGCCTAACGCTGAACAATAATTTACATTGCTAAAGGTTTATAAGCTCTTTTAGACCTGAAAGGACAGAGAGACTTAGGTGATGGTAGAAGGCAGAGGAGGAACTGGGAACCCTTTTTGGACTAGTCCCTGTACTAGTGTTAATCTTGCATTTTTAAAACTCTCTAAAATATGAACCACTTTGCTGGATCAGATCAGAGTTAACATTATTTTCAGCAGTAGCCAGCAATTGCTTTTGGGAAGCCTTGCAGTAAAGCAGTCATTTTTCCATGCTTTGTCCCAGAACATGGTAATTGGGAGACTGGAGGTGTTTTATTGTTTAAATCTGGTTCCTGAAATGACCAGTGGCATGGTTAAGCTGTGCCACACTTTTAGATTGAACAATAATTTACATTGCTAAAGGTTTACAAGCTCTTTCAGACCTGAAAGGACAGAGAGACAGGTGATGGTAGAAGGCAAAGTTGTTTCCTTCCCTGATGTTGTTTCCTTCCCTGTTTACCCTCTCCTTCACACAACCATATATAAATGCAGTTGCTGCCTTTTCATGTTTTTCAGGAGGTTAGAGGGAGGTTAGAGGGAATTAAGAGAAAACAAGAAATAGGGCCTTCTCGGCGGTGGCTCCTCGCCTGTGGAATAATTTACCTCCTGGTATTCGCGGAGCTCCCTCGCTGGGCACCTTTAAGAATCTACTAAAGACCTGGATGTTTCGGCAGGCCTTCTCACCAGATTATTTTTGATTTTCTTTTCTCTTATTGTCTTTTTACCTTTAATTGTTTTGTAATTTGTTGTTTTATTTTTATAGTATTTTATCTCTGTTGTAAGCCGCCTAGAGTAGTCCTCCGCGACTAGATAGGCGGGATATAAATAAAATAAATAAAATAAATAAAATAAAATACTTTTGAGAGTTTACTTTCCCAACATGGCCCCCCTTCTACAAACCTTAGGATTCCTCCAACCATGCCATTATCTGGTTTTTCTTTCTGGATGATGTTCATGTGAGACTATGTTCATATGAGAAAAGACCGAGGGAGGATGAGGAAGCAGAGCATTGAATATGAGAAGGAAAAATGAGTGAAGGCTTGTTGGAACAAAGGACAAGAAAGAATTGAATTGAGAGCCTTGTGTGAGGCACCAAAAGCCTTTTCTTGCTTCATTTGAGGAAGGAGTTCTTTGCAATAGATGTAACTGGTTCTCACATGTCTCATTAGGTTATCATGCAGGTTGAGCCGTAACTACTAAAAGCAACATCCGGTATTGTTCAGCAGAGATAACACAGGGGTAGGCAATTAATTTCTATAAGGGGGCCGCATGAAAAATTGGAACTGTGTCCAGGTGCTGAACCAACTTTACTTAAAAATGAAATGAAACAATGATGTTATGACTGTTTTTATTTTAAACTTGTTAATTTTCACAAATACTAAAGAGGTTTTTGCAGTATGTTAAAGATAAGCAACTGATCAAGTTTAGAGAAAAAACTATAAATGGTTTTGATGTTTAAAACTGTCTGCTGGCCGGACAGGAGTGTCTCACAGGCCGTATGTGGCCCTCGAGCCGCACTTTGCCCGGGCCTGAGATAACAGGTGCTTGGTTTTTATAGCCATACTTTGATGCAACTGATTCTTTTAGCAGTGCCTTCCTGTTACTAATAGGGTGCTTTGTGATAAAGAATGAGGGAAATGGTAACTCTTTCCTTCCTCCCTCTCTCTCTCTCACCAGGTCGATGTAGATTTAGCAAAATCCTGTGCAGATCTTCCTGAGGAAGACGAGGAGCTGAGAAAGAAACTCTGGCTGAAAATTGCACGGCATGTGGTCCAGGAAGAGAAGGATGTGAAGAAGGCCATGGCGTGCCTTTCCAGTTGTGACCTGCTGAAGATCGAAGATATCCTACCCTTCTTCCCAGACTTTGTCACTATTGATCACTTCAAGGAAGCCATCTGCAACTCTTTAGAAGCCTATAACAAGCACATAGAGGAGCTAAAGATGGAGATGGAAGAAGCAACCCAGAGTGCCAAAAGGATACGTGAAGACATTCAGGAAATGAGAAACAAATATGGCTCTGTGGAACCACAGGAAAAATGTGCTGCATGTGAATTTCCCCTTCTAAATCGTCCCTTTTATCTTTTTCTCTGTGGCCACATGTTCCACTATGATTGCCTTCTCCAGGCAGTTTATCCCAACTTGCCTGCTTATAAGCAAGCTAAATTGGAGGACCTTCAGAAGAAGCTTTCAGCTACAAACCAACCCTCCAAATCCCACCATCGTTCTAAGGACACAGATAATGCTGGTCAAGGGAAAGGCCAGCCAAGCAGGGAACAGATGAAAGCTGATATTGATGATATTGTGGCACCTGAATGTGTATATTGTGGAGAACTAATGATCCGATCAATTGACAAACCTTTCATTGATCCACAAAGGTATGATGAGGAGATGCAGAGCTGGTTGTAGGAACAAGACATTGTTGCCTGTGCAAGAGCATGAAACCACCCGCTTGGCAGCTAATCTCCAGGTATCTGAAACACATGAAATCTACAGAGATTTGATATAACGAGCCTCTGTTTATGTGAGTTAGCTCTATGGAGTAATGCCTTTGTTTTTGACTTCAGGCCGCCAAGCATTCAAGATGCTGGGGACATTCTCGATATAAATTCAGAATGGACCCTTGTTGAGAGAACCAACAATTGTGGCTTGTGTTATATCTGAATGATTGCCATTTTTCTGTAAACTAGTAGGGATGGCCAGATATGAAAACATGTATTGGTTTCAAAGGTGGAATTTCTCCTTTTTCATACTTGGTACTAAGACTGAAACCATGTCCTCTCTGCAACATGAAGGAGGATAGTTGTGAACAAAATTCTTTTACTGAACACACATCCATTATATTAGTCGTAAAGTGTCAGAGTGTTCAGTTTTCAGGCAAAGTAATTCCTTGCAAAGGCTACTTTACTTTTTTGTTTTGTTTTTGTTTCAGGACTATTTTGCCTCTGGTTTCCTAAATATTTATTTTGGGTAACTGAAATGCATTAATTTTTTTGTATGGTTTCTTCATGTTTTTGGAATCAAATACATTATAGTGTTGTTCACTGAGAGTAATTTGCAGATCTCAGATGAAAGTGATCTAATTTTGCTAGTGGTTGTTCCCAAGTGAAATCTATGCTAACGTTGAATCCCCAACTTGAGCTTCTCCCATTGTCCTAATTAGATCTGCACTTGCCTGCTGGTGGTCTTAATAGCATCCCTCATACACTGCTCTCTGCATATTTTTTCTGGAGCTTAAAAAAATTGGAAGCTCTTGTGAAACTCATCAGCCATCACCCCTATGATTTGATCAGAACCATTTGATATGAATTTTAGTTTAAAGGTTACAATGTTTAAAAGATTTTAGGAAGATCATCTAATTGCTACAATAGTTGGGTGGATGTTCAGAGCTAAAAATTAATTTCGCCAGGTCAAAAGGATATAATCTTCTATGCTAGAACTAGATTTTGGGTGGCAAGAAATGTTACCTAAGGATGTTACCAGGACAATATTTCATATTGGGTGTGGGTCTGAAATGCTTTGAATCATGTATTAAATCTGTGCCAGAATGTTTCTGTAGCAAAGCTCCTTCTGGGTGTACTTTGGTTACTAATTGCCATTGATTTTCATTGTTGTTGTTGCATATTTAAAATCTGTAAAGTTTACCTTTCCATTTTTGTTTGATGCTTGGAGTATATATATTTTTGGATTTTGGTGATATTAACAACTGAGGGCCTGCAAAAATTAATTAAAAATATTACTTGGGCACAAATATTCATCTACAGTCTGAAAACAAGGAATCGTGCATAACTAAATCCAGAGTTTGTTAATGTATACTTTCCAGATCTATATATTATGATTATATTTAGCATTCCTTGCTGTTAGTATTCATTATCCTTATTAAAGATAAGATTCCACTAAATAAAACATTGACCAGAGTTCTATATATTGGTGTAACTGCAGTGGTGAAATACAACTACTGCTGGTTCTGTTCCAGATTGTATGCCGGTATTGTGCCTCGGTATACAAAAAGGTATATGACCAGTGACTTGTTCACTATAGCAATTTGTTCCTGCATTTAATTATTTTATTTATTTATTTGATTTTACCCCGCCTGTCTGGACTATTTATTGATTTATTTTGTATCGTTTGTAGCCTGCCTTTCTCCTGGTGAGGTGAGAAAGCCTTAGCACTTTTTGTTGTTGTTTAGTTGTTAAGTCGTGTCCGACTCTTCGTGACCCCATGGACCAGAGCATGCCAGGCCCTCCTGTCTTCTACTGCCTCCCGGAATTTCGTTAAATTCATGTTGGTAGCTTCGATAACACTGTCCAACCATCTCGTCCTCTGTTGTCCCCTTCTCCTCTTGCCTTCAAATTTTCCCAAACATCAGGGTCTTTTCCAGAGAGTCTTCTCATGAGATGGCCAAAGTATTGGAGCTTCAGCTTCAGGATCTGTCCTTCCAGTGAGCACTCAGGGTTGATTTCTTTCAAAATGGATAGGTTTGTTTTCCTTGCAGTCCAGAGGACTCTCAAGAGCCTCCTCCAGCAGCACAATTCAAAAGCGTCAATCCTTTGGCGGTAAGCCTTCTTTTCTGGTCCAGCTCTCACTTCCATACATCGCTACTGGAAAAACCATTGCTTTGACTATGCGGACCTTTGTTGGCAAGGTGATGTCTGCGCTTTTTAAGATGCTGTCTAGGTTTGCCATCGCTTTCCTCCCAAGAAACAGGTATTTTGTGGCTGCTGTCACCCATTTGCAGTGATCATGGAGCCCAAGAAAGTAAAATCTGTCACTGCCTCCATATCTTCCCCTTCTATTCACCAGGAGATGATGGGACCAGTGTCCATGATTTTTTTTAATGTTGAGCTTCAGACCATTTTTTTTTGCTCTGCTCTTTCACCCTTATTAAGAGGTTCTTTAATTCCTCATCACTTTCTGCCATCAGAGTGGTATCATCTGTATTTCTGAGGTTGTTGATATTTCTCCCAGCAATCTTAATTCTGGCTTGGGATTCACCCAGTCCAGCCTTCCGCATGATGTATTCTGCATATAAGTTAAATAAGCCGGGGGACAATATACAGCCTTGTTGTACTCCTTTCCCAATTTTGAACCAATCAGTTGTTCCATATCCAGTTCTAACTGGTGCTTCCTGTCCCACATATAGGTTTCTCAGGAGACAGATAACGTAGTCAGGCACTCCCATTACTTTAAGGACTTGGCATAGTTTGCTGTGGTCCACACAGTTGAAGGCTATTCCGTAATCAGTGAAGCAGAAGTAGATGTTTTTCTGGAACTCTCTGGCTTTCTCCATAATCCAGTGCGTGTTAGCAATTTGGTCTCTAGTTCCCCTGCCCCTTCGAAATCCAGCTTGTACTTCTGGGAGTTCTTGGTTCACATTGCTGAGGCTTACCTTGTAGGATTTTGAGCATAGCCTTGCTAGCATGTGAAATGAGTGCAATTGTATGGTAGTTGGAGCATTCTTTGGCACTGCCCTTCTTTGGGATTGGGATGTAGACTGATCTTTTCCAGTCCTCTGGCCACTGTTGAGTTTTCCAAACTTGCTGGCATATTGAATGTAGCACATTAACAGCGCCAACTTTTAAGATTTTAAATAGTTCCACTGGGATGCCATCAGTTTTGAGAGAACACTTGTAAATAACTTGGCATTTTATGGTCTGGCTTTTGAGATTGCTCTTAAGGGTGTGTGTGTTACTGTTATGTCTGTAACCAATTATGAAGACTGTATATAGGGATCATGACAGGTAACGCCAGAATGTAGTCAGTTGCATTGACTTCCTTATTAGTTTAAGATGGGTAATAACCTTTTGAGTGATCTAAATGGGATCAGTAGACCTTTTAAAATGGCTGTCTTTTTTCCCAGGAATACTTATATTCTTTATAGTGCAATTACAATGAATTAGTTCAATGAGTTCAGTTAGTTCAATAAGTTCAGGGAAAAATATATCTGCATCTACACTTGAAAAGAGGGATGTTTAGTTGCTGATTTTCCTTGGGTCCAGATACTCCATTTGGATTTAAATCACAATCAGATGTTATAGCCATTTTTTCTTCCAATCACAGTTACCACTATGGTATTGTATTTGCTAATTTATGGGTAAACAAGGTTCATATGATATTTCTGTACCTTTAAATTTACGTAACCGGCTCCAAAAATAGTGGGCATGCTTGCTATCTGCAAAAGTGAGATGCACCATGCCTTTGTAGAATACCTTAAGTTTTGTAGAATATCTACAAGGACATTTTATATGCATTATGGGGTCCCAATAGTCTCCCAATATATTTAGAATATCCCATATTACTTCTAAATTGGATACCCATGCATTATTTGGCCTGAAATAAAAGCTTAAACTGACAACCAGCATTCCTGACATAACAGTGGAGAACACGGCAGAAATGTGAGCTCATTGTGCAGTTGAAAGGAAGAAAATAGTCCCAAGGAGTTGACTGCTAAAAAGGAAGGTGAGCATAAAATGGAGATTCTTCTGCAGCTATGTAGCTGTGCCCCTTCCTCTTCAAACGTGAAAGGGAGGGGATTAACCAGAGATGCATGTTGTAAACTGCAAGAGTGACTTAACTTTCACCCAATCCACAATCTTAATTTCTGCAGAATGCCACTGGGCCACGTTAAAATTTCATGTCTTCCCCACCCCTACGTACGCCAAAGAATTCTGGAGAAATTAAGATGGAGAAGGATATCAAACATAGGGCAAGGCTGCCCATTGTAGCCACCAGGCCTGCTGCCCTGGAAGGAGAAAAACAATGTACCGGGAGGGGGGGAACGGGACACTGCGTCCTCTTCTCTTTGTATGCAGTGGGGAGGGATGGGGTGTGTGGATTTACTCGGAGATAGGGAGAAGATCAGGGCATGATGACAGAGTTTTGCAGGGAGGTCATGAAGCTAGGATATGCAGGGTCAAAGCTTCACGACTGATTATGAGGAGCTATGGCATCATCAGCCATCTCAGCCTTAAGGCTTCCCTGTTCCCTCTAAGTGGAGCTCCAATCTGATTTTCCCAGAAACAAGATATTGCTGCAAGCTATGCCTGTTTGTAGTGCACAGTATTCGAGGGTGGCTGGGGCTTAAAGAGGACAATCCAGAGGAATGAACTTCACAGAAGGGCTACCCATTCTGTATACTGTACTTGCTTTTCACCACCATCCTTTGAGCCTTATGTGATTTCTAGCTGAACAGCTAAACAAGACTGAAATATGGTCACAGTCCCCAACAATCAGGGATTTCTATTATTGAATGGAGACTAGACTTAGTTATATGTAGTGTTAAAATTACCCATGACTAAAATAATTGTAAACCTCAAATGCATCCTACATTCATTCATTTACTCCAACAGAACTACAGTCCTATAGTTCCTTCAATCCCTTCCTGAGTAATAAAAATCCAGTTAGGTAGCCACCAACTGCAAAAATTATTGGCAACTTTATTTTTTGTAAAAAATCAAAAGTTATTTTAGGAATTAAGCTATTCCTTTCATCAGCAGAGCACAAGGAAGAAAAACAGTGGTGTGAGAGATTAGCCTAGTCTAACCAGCCTTCTCTGGGACACAAAGACTAGTTCTTTCGTAGTAAAATGATCACTCTGGATGCAACTTTACAAGAAAGAAGTGAAGTTTACTTGAATTTTTTAGCTGTAGCTGCAATCAGAAAATGATAAATAAAATGGAGTTTCAGTCATAGATGGAGATGGACTCTATGCTTGCTTCTCAAAAGATGGTCAAGGAAGAAGAGGACAAACAAGAAAACATGAAGAAGAGACAGAAAAGGGAAAACCTCTATCAATCAAACAAGCAGCACATAGGAGCACAAAACAACAACAACACAGCCACTCCCACTAATACCCAATGTTTAGTCATGAAAGACTGCAATTTTCCCAACAGAAAGTGACTTAAGTTTGTGAAAAGCAAACTGAGTAAGTTGAAGATCTCTGGAGAGACAAGATCAGGAAAGCATAAGACTTAAGTAACTAAAATAAGGACATTTGGCACATTTTCCACTAAGGAAGCCTAATGCACATGTGAAAACAAATAGCTATAAATTGCTTTGTCACCCCTATTGCTTTGGAATACTTTGGGCACTTCTGTGTTTTATAGCCATAACAGTAAATAATAATCTCAGTTTGTCTTTGCAGCTTTCCCTCACACTGTGTCTTTAAAAAAAAAACACCCTTATTTCCTCCTGGATATATTTAAAAAATGCTCAGCAGAAAAATTCTGTGTATTCACATCTTTGTGAATTCCTTGATTTCTGCCTAAAGATCTTTCCATATATTAAGTAGTTGAACAGTTTCATCCCACCTCCATAGAGTCTTTGACAGGAAGCAAGGCATATGGCCTGACTGAAGCCCTTTCCAGATGTTGTGACCTAAATGGTTTCTTCTGCATGTGGATTCTCATATGAGAAGTAAGGTGACCAGTCTGGCGGAAGTTTTTTCCACACTCCAAGCATTTATATGGTTTCTCCCCTGTGTGGATTCTCATATGGCAAGCAAGTTTTCCGCTCTCACTAAAGCTCTTTCCGCATTCCAGACACTTAAATGGTTTTTCCCCTGTGTGGATTCTCATATGGGAAGCAAGATGTGTGCTCTGACTGAAGTTTTTCCCACATTCCAAGCATCTGAATGGTTTCTCCTCTCTGTGGATTCGCATATGGCAAGGAAGGCTTTTTTTTGGCTGAAGTCTTTTCCACATTTCAAGCATTTAAACGGTTTTTCCCCTGTGTGAATCCTCACATGGCAAGAAAGGCTTGCACTGTGACTGAAGTCCCTTCCACATTCTAAGCATTTGAATGGTTTCTCTCCTGTGTGGACTCTTATGTGGGAAGTAAGGTGCGCATCCTGGCTGAAGCTCTTTCCACACTCCAAACACTTAAATGGTTTCTCTCCAGTGTGGATTCT